CAGACTTAGGAACCACCGTAGCTTTTGTTTGCCTTCAACCTAACCTTCTGGAATATCTGAAAACTTCAGCATACCAAACTCTTGTTTTAAATAATTCATGTGTTCTTGATAGGAGAGAAACAAAAATGTTTTTCTAGCTTCAGTTTATTCTAAACTGGACTTAAAGACTGAAGGAAAAAAATGTGCCCAAAGAGCTCATTACTTACCTCTATCAAAAAGCAAGAGTAGCGTAGACAAGAACTTAGCTTTGCTGAATGTTTAAATTATAATTTTAAGGACTGTCAGTAGTAGATTGAACTGGAGTTGATGATTGACCACAAAATTCAGTATGTGTGCTTTGAAGTTAGCTATTGGAAAAAATCTGTGGTAGGCACAGGTTTTAATTCAAAATTATAGAGATATTTCTTAAATAGATGCAGAATTCATTAATAAAATGTGAATTATTTTTCTGGTACAGTGATGTGCTTAGAAGACTGTAGCTGAAGGAATTAGTCATAAAGTTTTACCTTGGGGAGACTGAGGGATGCAGTGAAAAAGAAAGCTGATGACTTCAAGCCAGAATCCATGTAAAATAATGTAAAGGTATTAACAAAGCAATAGGATGGTTAATTCTGGGGGTGGAGCCCAATCTTGAGCATTGCTGTAGTCAAATTCCCACACGTCATTTTTCAAAATGAACATGCAAAATGTTTCCTCTATTGATTTTAAGGCAGTTGAGATAGTGGTGGTGGGGTTTTGTTTGTTTGTTTGTTTTACCATTATCTTCGATAAAACCTACACCACTTTTGAAAACCCTTGTTATCCTGATGTCCTCTCCAAGGTATTCCTGCCACGAGAGAACCTGATGCTATTCTGGGATGAATAAAAATTATTCTCCAGGCAGTGAAAACTGAAAATAAAACAATAAATAAAGGCACTGTAGAAAAAAGGCGGTCAATGAGACTTGATAAGGGCTCTAGCACAGTTTTTTTCACAGAAATGTGGTAGAATGGAGCCAGAAGCATTAGCTCAGACCTAAGAGTCACCTGTTTTCCATGTAATGTTTTTCTTTCTGTTTATGCCGAGGTAAGAGGTGAAGGTCCATCACTGTTTATGCCAGACCTGATGATGGCTGAATTTAGGCAACATCAAAACAAGTGGTGATGCTTTTCTGGTGTGAGAGATTAGCTCTTCCTTCCTCCATTTCCTAGGTGCGGGGACCTGGTTGCACCCAGGGGTGGCTGTCGGTGGCAGCGAGAATGAGGGCTGCCAACTTCTTTCTGGACACCATCAGGGACAAGGTGACATACAGAGCAGTGCCAAAATCTTCGATTCATCTAAACCAGTAATTTGGGGGCTATAGGGTAAGGCAGAGCTCCTGCCAGTATCATTGCTTTTTTCTACACATCTCTCCTACATATGTACCCTGTTATTTCAGGTATTGCGTTTCCATAAGTGCACCTGGAAGATGCTTTTTTAGGGGTGTCTGTGATTTCCTTTTCTCTTCCTAGTTCTGTATTGGCACAAAAATAGTAATGGTTGTCTTCATGAGTCACTCCAAGTAATAGACAGGTGAATGGGCCAAGTTTTAAAAGAAAGCACAATCTCCTAGTAGCCAATAGTATTTAGCGTGTGATGTAGGCAGAAGGAAGTGATGTCATGAACCTAGGGTATATATTGCTGTGTTGCTTATCAATAAACGCCATTTTGCCATCCACCACATTGGTGTCTGTGTGCTGATGGCCCGAGCGGCTCAGTGTTTGTCGCCGTGCCGCTCCTGAACCAGGTCGCTGCGCCTTGCGAAGGCAACAATGGTTGTCTTCATGAGTCACTCCAAGTAATAGACAGGTGAATGGGCCAAGTTTTAAAAGAAATCATAATTTCTTCTAATAGCAAAGATGGAATTTGGAGTCTGAGATTCATTTTTACCATTATAGTTCTAATTCAGAAAATTTAGTTTCTCAATATCATAGCATAATTTTACTCTTGCATATAGAACGTGCATTTTTAACTACTGAAAGGAGTGTGGGGGGAGGATTACTGAGAAATCTGTTAGATTTTAGAAAATGTAATTTTCTTGCTGAGAAGTTAGTGTATACCACATTTGCAGAATTTACTTTGTGTAGAAAGCATTTTGCTCAAAGTCTTTGTGTGTGTGTGTGAAAAGTTCTCATTTAGAACAAGAAAATTAATTTTGAAGTCTCCCTTTCTTAGACCTTCCTGGCAAAACAGATTTTTCTTTTTTTTTCCTCCTGAGAATAACTTAATTCCAAGGAAATTGGTTTTGGTGACTAGTATAATTTTGGAACCTCATGCTTTGCAGTACATTAGTAGCCAAATAACATACATTTTATTTTTAATAATAAAACTGATGAATAAGCAAGTGATAATTCTGCCTGCTGATTTTTTTAACTCCATGCTCTGATGCAACATCATTCATGTAAGAAAACGTTATTGCAAATACATTTGTGAAATGCAAGAGAGAATGACCCTACTGACCATTTCAGAATTCAGTCCTGAGCAGTTACAAAATTAGACATTTTTAACTCAGAAATCTTATCTTGCAGTTGGGTTGGTTTTGGGGTTTTTTATGATCCAGAGTTGAGGCATCTTCTTGCCCATGTTCCTTTGGCAACCCCAACTAGCACCTGCCAGGAACATCAAGCTCATTCACATCTATTGCAAGAGTAGTGGTAGCGTCACCTTCTCCAAAACCTCCAAGAGCTCAGACTTGGGAAGAAGTAAGACCAAGGCTGGGTGTCCTGCTGTCTGACCACGTCCTCATGTTTGGGCATGAACTTTCTGCTCATCCTGCCAAAGTATTATTGTGGCATGAGCAGGAGTGCCCAAGAGTCACAGAGCCAAAAAGAGAGAGTTTCTGGAGACCCAGAAATTCCCACTGGCTTTAATGGGGATGTCCTGCACAGCGAAGCTCAAGTGCCACAAAGCTGCCTAGTGCCTCCTTCACTGTGGAAAGGTGATTTGGCAAAATGGTTAATTCTGTTCACAGCTTTAAAGTAAAAGCTGTATTTTGAAAAAAAAAAAAATACTCTGAAGTATTTTGAAACTTTCTAGAGACTTTTTTTAGACCAGCTAAATTGAAAAAATAAATGGTCCAGTGACTACTTGCTAATTCATCTGCATGTGCAGCTGCAAAATTATTTTCTGTGCACATAGTGCAAAACTTCTTCCTAAATATGAGGTTTAGAGACCCTTTGGGAGTAATTAACTATAATGCAGAAGCAAATCTGGGTTCATTGTACGCACTGCTCATTTAAGAAATGTTTTTGTGCACAAAGCCCATTAGTAAGTTTCCAAAACCTCCATGAATGTTAAACATTTTATTATAGGACTCTGAGCGCTTCTTATTGTACATAAAATCTAATGTAATCCCATGAATTACACTTAGCTTTTGATCCCTGGGTAGCAAATTGCTGTGTCACATGTGTGCCACAGTGTATTCAAGGGCTAAAATCTGGCTTTTATTTAGTTACTCATTTAACAGTGATAGAACAGCTCTTTTCCTGTGGACTACACAAAAAGTTGAGGATATGCTCAACATAAGTTGCATACTATTGATTTTATTCTACTTACTGGTCGACTTCCATACAGTGTGTGTGGTTTTTTTGTTGTTCTACTAACTGCTTTTCTTCTGTGCTTTTAGTCCTATGCTATATATGGTTGTTGGGATCTTGACTCTGATGCAATGGAAATGCAAAGCAAAGCTGATGTTTTAATCAGTTGTACACGATTGGCAGTCAAAACAATTGAGTTCCTGAGGATGTGATTAAGCCAGGATTGGGAATACATGCCCTTAGCCTCAGTGGGTGTAGGCATGTGCCTGAAGTTAAGAGTATGTTTAATTTGCTGAATTAGGTCAATGCATGAGGCTAATGGACTCCTTCAGAGGCAGCAGCGTGATGCTTTCTGGCCTGTATTACATGAGCGGTCAGGGGATGTAATCTGACTTGCCCTCACTATCAACTAATTTGTGAAGAAACACAAATCATGTGAGATACTCTGAGGAAATCTATCCTGCTGACTGTGTGTGTTATGAGGGTGCTGATACTTGCACGTGCCGGGCACTAGTCCTGGACAGCAGGCCAGTGGGGACTGGGCTTACTGGCCCAGCTGTGTGCTGGTAATTAGCACGGAAGCACAGTGGCACAAAAACAGATGAAGAAGAGCAGAAATGACTGCTCAGCTTTTATAGAAGTTTGTCTTTTCTCATCTCTTAACTCTTTGTTATCTGTTTGTTTGGAGAGTTTGACGGCATAGCATTGTGTAATGTTACCTAATATATATTGCATCCTATCCCCCATTTATTTCCCAATAAAAAACAAACTATAGTCTTCATCATTAAAGGAGAGTTAATCATTAACATCTGAGGGTTTTTACAACACCTGCACTTTATCTCAGAATATTCAAAATATATCCAAACACTTCCATTTAAGGTGATGGTTTACACCGTGCTTTGGCTGCACTATGTGGATTGGTTAGAATTTCATGCAATTACTATTTTACACAGCGGCAGAGTATCTGTGAAGTGGCTATCAATTGAAACATATTTTGCTCTCCAGACTTGCTTTTGCAGGTTTCACAAAACATTTAATTAGTGATAATCAGCTTTTAACCAACCAGAGCACACTGATGTGATTCTCTCCCTCTCTCCCCCATAATTGTAGGCATAGTCTGTACCCATAAGATAAATTACTTTCAGTCTGGAGAACATCCTAGCCAGCAGGAAGGGAGAGAATAAGAATGTCATTTGCATGGGGATAAAGAAGGTGCTGTATATACTGTGATTTCAGTGAAGAATATACTTTTTCTTTCCTTTTCAGAATGGTGGACCTGGAAACCAGCTGGAGATTGCAAAGTCTCCTTTCCCTCGAGGTTGCTGGTCAGTGGTCATCTTCCACCACACCCAAGGAAACTAGAGGAGCTCCACGCTAACTTCTGTAAGGTTTGTTTCACTATGGAAGATCAAATGATTTTTTGGCTCAGGTTTTGTGAAGTTCGGCATCTGCCTTGGACCCGCAATTTGGAAAAAGGATCATCTCTGAGGCACAGTTAAGAGACAGAAAAACCAGTTCCAGACGATGAGCACTTTAAGTAGCACTGGAATATTACTCAGCTTAACGACAGTGTCTGTCACGCTGGATTTTAGTTTACATGGTGGTCTGATGGCTTGGTCCTTAAGCAGCAATTTGACTCTAAATCAGAGTTTGCCTACATCTGATCCTCTTAATGCCTCTGAGAAGGGCGAAGTCTCTCGGATGTCCGTGAGGGAGAAGAACTGGCCAGCCCTCCTGATCTTGGTTGTCATCCTGCTGACCATTGGGGGGAACATATTGGTAATTATGGCTGTGTCCTTGGAGAAGAAGTTGCAGAATGCCACAAACTTCTTCCTGATGTCCTTGGCGGTGGCAGACATGCTGGTGGGTATCCTGGTCATGCCCGTGTCGCTCATTACAGTCCTGTATGGTAAGTGGCTTCCCTCCTTGTTTGACTATATGCTTTCGCAGGGAATCCCCTAAGGCTGCAACAATCTACTTTGCCCAATTTTTCATGTGTTGGTGGCTTGGGGAGTATCAGTGTGGACTTGGCCATGGGTCTGTGCTGAGGTTCACAATCTCCTGGGTAAGGATGATGCTCTGCTGGGAGCAGAGCTTGTTTCCATGCTGCTGGGAATGACCTGTGAATGGTGTCAGCATCGGATTGTTTTTTGTTTCTTTTTTTAATTGCCGAGGCCACCCAGAGAAACTGCAACAGTAAGTCAGCTTTTTACCTTTTGGTTGGACTGCCCCAAAATTAGCTAGGACACAAGAGCTTAGGGGAAAGCTGAGGAGTGTGTTTGTGACTGACCCAGCTCTAAGCCAGGTTAGAATCAGTCCTTGAGCTCCCACTGATATCAGTGGGATTTGAGCAATAATGTGGTTAAAAAAGGAGGTTTGGTCTAGTAGATTTGGCATTCAAATAAAAGCTTTCACTCTTGGCATTTATACCTGAGCCTGCCTTGTGCCTTTCAGGGGGTCATTTTGCCTTTCTGTGCCTCAGTTTCTCCATCTCTAACCTGAGAAAATGCCCTCTGTTTTAAAACACTGAGATCTGCATGTATAGGTGTAAGCATTTATTGCTCCCTTACCGTATTAGGGTCGGTGTGTTTGTGCTGAAGTGAGGCATTGCTCCTGCATTCAAGTGTAGAATCACTGTTAGCGCTTCAAAGGAGTAGAATATCAAGCACATCCAGCTCTCGCATCTGTCTGAGACTCCGAATCCGATTTCTTTCAGTGTGGTGCTAGGACTCTCATCCCTGGATATTAAAAAGGGGTATTGCGTTTGCCTCTATATATCTGGTCATCATGTTTGTATACTCGCGTATCAATATAATGTGTGTGTGTTTAATAGATAACACTTAATCATTTCTGAAGTCTGGTTTCAGATTTTCTTTGAAAAGTATTTTAATATTGATATTTCTTGGAAACTAATAATGCTGTTTACTTACAGATTTGATTAGAAATTGGTTTACTGTCCTAGAAAGTAAAATGTAGGGATATTTATGTGACTTCTCTTGCCTAAATGATTAAGTCAGACAGATTAATTTCTAAAACACATTGATCAAGCATACATAATTTCAAAGCTTATATAACTTGTCTGCAGTGAGTTAAATCAAATATGTGATTTAAGTACAGACCTAGCCATTGATCTTATGCATAAAGCTTTTTATTTTGGCCTGTCAGAATAGTTCCATCTCCAAATCTTCTGCATATTACAACACGTGTATTTTATTTTTAGCATTTTACTCCAGTTCCCTGGAGCTTGAAAGGGAGCATAAAATACTGAATGATTTGATTGACCTGCACTTGCATAAATTCTGGGTTACCCGGTGACTCTAAAAAGGTGAATTTATAGAAGTGGTCTTCCTACATATATACTTTCCGAGTCTTTGGAAAGTAATGGAAATGGATTTTCTGTTCTGCCTAGAAAATGATTACTTAAGGTCGTTTAAAGGTGTAAACCATACTGCATATTTAGAGGCAAGTAAATATCATTGACCTGAAGAGGAATTGTAATTATTCGTCTTTTCTACCGGAGCACCAGTATTGGCTGTTGATGGCCCAAACTCTTCTCTGCAGGCAAATGGCACTAAATAGATTTTTTTGGCAAAAGTTATAATTTCAGAACAAACAGGCATGGAAAATTTGTGGAAATACTGTGAGAAATGGGAATAGCTGCTGTTATTTCTGGGGAGCCAGGAGGCTGCTAGAGCTGTGCTGTGTGCTGGCACTGCTCCCTTGGGCCAGCTCAGTAGCCCTTGCTGGGCTGGACCGAAGCAGGCGTGTGGCCTTCAGGCTTTGTGAGGGGAGGAGGAAAAGCTCCATTTGGAGAAAATTCAGAGGAACTTGTGGACTGATTTGAATAGGACCTCTGTGAAATCACTTCTCTATATTATTTAAACTACTAATTGCGGAAGTAAGCAGCAGGGCTGTGCTACTCCAGCAGCAAGGGGAGAAGGCTGCCAGAAGGAGTAGAGAAAGTCTGTCCCCTTTCCCAAGTGATTATTTGCTAATTCATCCTGAAAATAAACACTTGGTTTGACACCCAGAAGCTAAAGGGCCTGGGCTGACTGGGTATGTCTGAGAGAAGACTAAAGGAAAAAGGCTGAGGTTGTGTCAAGGGTATTGCTCCTCTTTAAATGCACCATTACATGCGGATGCCCTTTTCTGGGCATCTAGAAAAATCATTTAGGACATAAGACTAACAGGGCACATCAACAACCACAGCATTTGATGGTTCATGTAAATAAAACATGCATGCAAGAGCAAAGAGGAAAAGCAGGTTAAGCCTGTCACTCATCACTACATACAACTTGGACCAAACACAGCCGTGCCTTCCTCAGCTTCACAAGTGCTGGAGTCATCAAGCTTTTCAGAGTCCTATACCTATTTCTAGCTTTGGCAGGGAGGGGAGGCAGGTATCTTGTGTATTATACTCAGCTTGGTGGACCAGTTCTTATGGCAACATGAGACAGCAGCTGGAAAGGCTCTTGGCAGTGATGCAACATTAACAAATGCTGTTATTATAACTGTCAGCCTCCAGAAATCCATCACTTGTTCCCAAGTCTGTTTCATCTGGTGTCATAAGTAGCATCCCTGCACCATTGCACACACTGGTTTTGAGGACAAAATCTGGCCTCTTGTGTAACATGGGTTTTCTTGGCTTAGTTTCCTTTGACCTATAGTTTTTGGAAAAATGGTTCTTCTTACAGCAGGCTGCAAGCACTCTGGATGCCACAGTGGCCAGTAAGACAGTGGACTTTATTTTGTTTTCTAAGAGCTAGAGGTCAAGAAATCCAAACATATACAAATGCTTTAGTAGGTTTTCTATTCTGTTTGACATGTAGCACACAAGCCAGTATCAGTGATTAAGGGGGCAAATATTCACACAGCAGAATTCCTCTGAGAGTAACCGGGGTTCATGGCCATGGACCGATCAGGGAGAGCATTACTGCTTGGAGATGTAATTGTGAACATACAGTCATTTTCACTCTGTATTTTACCCTGTGCATTCTATATAGCCTGCACATTATGATACTGGGCTGTTTCAAAAGCTGCCATATGCTGTATGGAGAAACATATGCAGCACATCTCTTCCAGATTTGTAGAAGTCACTTTTAATCTATGTAATCAGAAAGGAACCTTAAAAAATACATATAATAAATAGAAGAGTGATGAAGTTGCTTTTAAGTTTCCACATCAGCTCTCCCAGCCCCAATGATAAATTCTAGTTTGCAGAGTATGTTCATTTCCTTACTTTTCAACTAATGAGGTAGATGAAGTAGATTTCACTTCAAGTATAACCAGAAAATTGAATAGACACCCTCCACAAAGACTTCTGGTTTTCAGTGGTTTTGTTTTCTTAATTAAAAGAAGGGAAAATCAAGTTGTCAGTTAATTCAAGAATCTTATTACAAAGGAAGGGGTGGCAGGATGCACCATGCTGGATTTTTCACCAATTAGTCAGTGCTCTGATATATTTATCCATTAGTCTTTCTTAAATGTCTTGTCAAATGCAACTCATCGATTAGTCCAACTTAGAACGTTTTCCATGGCATGCAGTTCCTAAAGAACTAAACAAATTAGTATGCTAATTAATAAGCATGTATTGAGGAGAGTAAATGAGAAATTAACATCATGTTTAATCTCAATGGAGAAACTTCTGATTAATTAAAAATACTTGTGTGGTAAGGCATCAGGTATTCTGGACATAATGGAGCTTCTGACAACACATGGAGATTGTCTCCTCTCCTCGGAGCATTTTAGGGACAAGCAGTGGTGGGTTTGCATTGAGTCTAGTGTTTATGGGCATGAAAGAGAGAGTTGCTTTTTGTTTTCTAAGACTAGTGAAGGAATGCAAGAGAATCTCATCAGCTGATCTGAGTGGAAATTACAGAAGGTATTAAACTTTCTTCGTTCTAATGAAATGGGTTCACAGCTGCTAACAAGTTGCCAGAGTGTGGCCAACAAGGGGCCAGCACACTCATCTGTGACTCCAGGTGCCCAGGCTTCTCTATTTTCTCTGAGTTTCAAAAAAACACTGTAATGCTGGTGGCCCGATGCAGCTTCCAGGAAGGCTGGTATTAGATTCAGCATCCATTAGCCCCAACTGCTGGAGCAGCTTCACATCCAAATTACTGTTGTTATTGATAATTATCATCATTATTATGTGGTGACAGAGATGTGCTGAGCACTTGCAGCAGACTTCACTGTTTATTCCCCCTGCAGAGGGAAGGGGGGGGGAGGGGGGAGCAGAAAGAGCTGTCAGTCAAACAGCCTGTTCCGCAGTCTCATTTTGCCTGACCCTGATTTGCCTTTCTAGGGTGGCACTTGCTATCAGCAGTGAACATCTTGCAGAGAGACCTGATCAGGCAAGACAAGAACAAGGTGTTGCTGAATAAGTTCCCAGGCACAGTCGATACCTGAAAGGACAGATGGAGGGTGCCTGGGGTGTTTGTAATGCAGATCTCCTCAGCAGTGCCAGGGCACCTTGATGATGCCGGGTATTTTCTGAAGCTGCAGCAAGGAGCAATGTGCTCCTTCAACAGCTGGGGCCATCTGCTCTGTCTCTTTTTTTTTAATTTAATTTTTTTCCCTGCTGATTTCTAGTAATGACTTTCTAGGTACAGGTTAGTATTTACTGCTGCCAACCAGCTACAGGCACCTGCGCCCAAATGCTGTGTGGGAAGGATACAAGGAGTTAAATGTAGGGGGGGGGTTTGGCCGTTCATTCTCAAAAAAAAAAAAAAAGAAGAAAAAGATGAAATAGAAGTGATGTTTCTTATACGGGAGTTTACTTAACTCTTTTAGTGTATTCATGGTTGTGAGTTAAATGTCTGCAGTCGTGTATATGTGTGACTGTGTCAGTCCACCTGGATTAATTAACAGTCTTCCCCTTCTGACAAACTCTGGGCTTAGTTTTTAGCT